AAATTTTTAACGGACATTTCCTATCCCAAACTGTTAAAAATATAATAACAAAAATGAAGTCAAAATTAGCCGAGTCAGTCTAAACGAAAGTTGTAGAGTATAATATCAACTATGTGTGGATATAAAGAACGTCGAAAACAGAGCTCGTATGCGGTAGTTACGGATTTTTGAAGTTTAATAAACGCGAGTACGCTCAACATGCTCGTGTTCATGGTCTGAGTTGGGCCACGAAGCCTACTCCATCACATGAGTGCTACGAGTTCGTAGCCTTGACGCATCTGATCTGATCCACTTCGTACGTCCTGCGTACATGTCGACAAGGCAGTACACCCAGCATACTAGGTTTACGCCCAGCGTACATGTTGACGAGGCAGTATGCCCCACGTACAAGGATGTTACGCCCAACGTAATTCGAGGCATCAGCCTTCTATAAATAGAAAGCAAGACCTTTGGATTTTGTTGCCAATTTCTAAGCATCTCTCCTACTATTTTCATCTTTAAGGACCTCTATATTGCCCCGAAGCCCCGATTACATATCGACACTCGAATGCAAGTCCTGAAGCCCCGAAGATCCCGAGAAAAAACGTTTTCCAGCCGAAACTCTGCCCGCGTGAAGCCCAGTTGTTGAGAAGATATCTCGGTTTCATTAAAGAATATTACTTTAAGAGTCGTGGTGTTGTCTGATCATCATCTTATCAAGTGAGTGTATAGTCACTTTCTTCTAACACATAGATATGAAGTATTTTTGATAAAATATGTGCTATGTGCTTATATATTATTTGTTTATTTGAGATGATTGTTGAATGAATGTTTTATACGGGTTTTAAATCGTATATGTATTTTTATCTACAAATATGTTGGGTTAAACATGGAGATAGTGGATGTGTGATGAAATAAAATGATGAGAGGCCTCGATGTTGTTATTGTTCCAGTCATCTAGCGGAGTATGGATGACGACCACAGACTTTTCTAGACAGTCAAGTGGAACGCTGACAGGCTCGCAACATGTAATGTTATTGAACTTGGGTGTTCGTTTGTTGTACTCTATCCCTCCATGGTTGCCTTATTTGACATAAATTGTTGGGAAACCCCCAAAGCAGTGTTGTCGCCCCGATGAAAATCCTTAGGCTAGGTCCCTTGTGATAGTTGTTTTAGGGATGTTAAGTGGGGATAACGGGAATGGGTAATCTGGTTATTGTTGTTTGATGAAATTAATAAATTTATTATTGTGGGTTGAAAACCCTATATGCTCAC